CCAACCAAATGATGTTGTTATGTACCTGTAAATATGTTATTCAGTATTAAAATATCTTTTAATAAATAAGAGTTATGTATTCTATCACATAATTCGCTTGCGCGTAGGGGTCTTTAGCAGTGGGAGGAAACCGGAGGACCCGGAGAAAACCCACGAGGTTGGACAGGCGACCCTACTCCTTGTCACGTACAACCGGGGATTCGAAACCACGCCAGTCGACTCAATGACAGACTTTGTGATACAGCGCGCGCACGCTAACCATTCAGCCATCCAACCCCCCGCACGATTTTATAACTAGAATAGTTCGATTCATGCTGAGGGGACTTTTAGCTAAGCTTTGGCAATGTCTAGTCGTTCATGTCAAGAACTATGTACTAATGTCGATTCTTGACCAGTTCGATCTTAAGATAATACAAAATATCGCCCTTCTTCATTATCCCGGTTGATGCAAGGCGTAAAAGCCCATTTTATTTCATTTCATTTACAAAATGTATGGCGGATAACGTTGTCTTTAAAGTAGCTAAATCGCTAATATTTTGGACCTATAAACTGACACAAATGGGTCGCAACGCATATATAATGTATTATGAATGCATATAAACTGTTTTACATTCCATCGTTTTTACTGCAAATTCTAATCAGGTATGTTCGGCGAAATACGCCAGAAGTCTCAATCAAGTGGCAATCTCTAGCATCTGGTTATTCCAGTCTACACCTCTAATATTTATTGTGCACGCTCTCCAGATAAGATTATGCCGTCACTGTTTGGCATGACTTGTGGAATATGTCTACCCTCGTTCCTCGAGTCCCTTTTTACAAATGGCGCTGAAACGCATTATGGTACACGATTCTTGTACCAATGGTAAAATGTTTATTTTGTCTTAAATATTGGATATCAGATTCCCGGTAAAGATCACAACATCAATGTTGATTTAAATTAACAAATAATTTGTGTTTTCAATGTCGAAGACTTTGGATGGTACTGAGTTAGAGACTTGGCTACTTTAAATGTTATTGTAAAATGACACTGCATACAAAATGTATCTATACCAAAAGCCTCTTCATTGTTCACGTGAGCGAACTGTCAATGTGTGTCATAGTTGCTTCGTCTGTTTAACAACCACGTGACAAAATAGAAGTAATTTTATCAGTGGAAATATGATAGAGTTGCCTGGAGTCTTTTGAAAATGAAACGAGAGAGGGCTTAACGTCCTACTTTTCTGCACTGACTGTGCTGATGAAGACGAGCTCGCGCCAAACTGTGTGCTACGAAGGAAATTTTGAATTCCAACTGCGAAGGGTTCTTTTACATGCACGCCAATGTGTACATGGGAAAATATGCGTACGGGCCCGTTTAATGTTAGGGGGCAGAACTGATATGCCCAAAGCTATTCCCATTTATAGACGGCATATCCGGTTTTTAGCGAACGCCGTATGTAACACTTTCTTACAGATAACAGAATAACAGCATAATGTATAAAACATTTATTGAGAACATGAAATAGACATATTCTGGGGAAGCTCTATTCCAAGTCTGACTTGCTGTCAGTAAACGTCTGCTTATAAAGCCTCTAACAATTAGCTGAGGTGGACAAGAGTGATAATCATATATGGTATTGTTTATTATCAATTATGGTGTTTGTAATTAAACTGCATATTTCTTTGAAAGTCATTGTCAGGTCAAGGTATAATGAACTGACCAATAATACATTCTCTTTGAAATTCAGTCTAGTGTTACACGCGGATCATGTGTAGCTTGTTAAAGAACATCTTGAATAAACTAGATGATTATTAAGAACGTGTCTTTACAGAAGTTGTCGAGAGTTTAAACGTCAACTTCAGTTATAGATCAGGGTCCTGTTTCACGAAATTTTAACTAAACATAAAATCCAAATTTTAGTAGATACTTCAATTTTGATTGGCTAAGTCTAATATTATCCAATCAAATTACTAAAATTTGGATTTTATCTTAGTTAAAATTTCGTGAAACAGGCCTCAGTTTTGTCACACCAGGTTACTTATTAAAAATAAATAACGAACATAATATAAACGTCAACTTCAGGTATAAATCACTCTGTTACACGTAGGCGCGGAGCTTACCGTGTCCTAATATCTTAATCCATGGTCAATTCAGTACAAATTCCTGGTACGAGATGATATATTAGTTTTTTTCACTTCACCCGTCTGTCAGAGAAATCAGATTTTCCGACAGTTAGCGGGGGCGACTACCGCCTCCGCCTCCTGGCTCGTACGTCTATAGTTACCCCCGCCCTCTCCCCCTCTCTTATCCCCTTCCTAAAGGATAAAATAAAAAAAATGTATTGATGGATGTTAAGGAACACGCATAGCAAGTTTCATGGCGATCGTACTTGACTTGCCTGATCGGGGAGACCTCGGTTTTATTCGAAAAACCAAACATATACACTCCCTTTGTAAATAAACACAAAGTATAATTCACAAAACTACCCTGAATTGGCATTTTTAGTTAATATATTTAAACTTGTAGGTGTGTTGATCAGTAATTACATTCAATGAATTATGTTTGTGAAATGGTAATTCACAAGATTTGATGTTCAGCTTATGTATAAAATTAGGGTTAAGTTACAAATCAGTAGTGAAACGCTCCACCCTATTCCGGAACAATTGGCATCGGATCAATACAGGAGCCACAGATTCAAAATCACGTGAACAATGAGTGGTTACCATTGAAAATGTGTAATATACCAGCATGTATTTTCCAAGTATATCCGTTATCATTCGTCACACCAATCAGTTATTTAGAGAGGCGACTCTTGTTTTCCTTTGGCGTTCGTCACTTCCGATTCAGAAAAACTGTATTACCCAGCTATCGTAGCAATGATCTCTGAGATAAAATTATATTTGGAATGTGTTTAACCAGCTCTATCACATATGTGATAATGCCTGGCACCAATATTGTCCTTTAACGCGCGTGTGAATAGTCAACTTGAATTATGGAGTCAAGCCACTAATTATTATAGTACATTCTCATAAATTCTCGCCAATAATGAAGTCTTGTATATCACTACATATACTTTGATTAGCAAATAAGATCACGTGACCCGAACACCACCTTCAAAAATTTTTTCCACATGTCAATGCAGTACAATAGATTAAATAAATAAATAACTAAAAACAAAACGAAACTAGATTGCCATCCGATTTTAAGCAGATTGTTTTTTGGAGAAAATGTATATGAATAGTTGTTAAATTATTCGAATATCTTTGGCATATTTTACTATGATGCCACTTTCAATTCTAAATGCATTATGAAATAAATGAATGATGAGGAATTAGTACAATAGGAAAACACTGTTATGTTAGTCCGATTTATACAATAAGAAAAAAATAATACTTCAGTTTTTAGTTCCGTAATAAAGTACGCATATTGCAAGTTTTAGCTAATTTCTGTCTCTCATTTATACTATTCAAAAAAAGTAGGGGATATTTGATTTTGGGGGCATAATACTAAAATATGCAAATGACTACGAAAAAAGTCACTATAGAACCTAACAGAAGAAACATTTCCAGTTACATGTGACGCCCAAACGCACCAATAGCTACCGCACGGAATGCAGGTGATGCTTGGGATCATCATGGGGGTCCAACCCAAGATTTGCACGACTCTGACTTTGAATGTTACAGTCATTGTGGCATTGAATTCCAGGGTGGAAACATCAGTTTAATTGTTTTAGTGACCAGAAAACAAATTTTGATATGCGTCGGCTTACCCAAAATGAAAGGTTACGTGCCCTTGGCATGCTACAGATCGGCACAACACAGGCGGTTGTGGCGCAGACGATGAATGTTTCTCAGTCTGTCATAAGCAGGCTATGGTCCAGATACCGTGATACACAATCTGTACAGGACAGACCACGCTCAGGTCGACCAAGGGCGACAACTCAAGCCCAGGATCGATTTATCCGTACCTTGGCCTTGAGAAATCGTGTCATCACAGCAAATCAGATCAGCGCTCGTCTTCAAACAGACACTGGTGTGAGAGTGAGTGGCCAGACGATTCGGAATCGACTGCATAGGGGTCACCTTCGCGCCCGACGTCCTCGCGTGATCCCTTGTTTGAGAGATCATCACATTCAGGCAAGACGTCGTTGGTGTAGGGATCGTCAACACTGGGATAATCGACGCTGGAGCAATGTGATGTTTTCAGATGAGTCAAGGTTCACTGTTGATTTTTTGGACAGACGTAGGAGGGTGTGGCGTCGTCGAAACGAGCGCTTCCAAGACGTTAACATCATCAGACATGATCGATTTGGGGGTGGTTCTGTTATGGTGTGGGGAGGCATCACTGTTGCTGGAAGAACGACTTTACATGTTGTTGCAGGGCGTGTTACAGGCCAGTACTACCGGGACAACATCTTGGCAGTCCATGTTGTGCCGTTCGCACGACGTCATGGCCGCCGTTTCATCTTCCAGGATGACAACGCAAGATGTCACAGGGCCAGGATCGTTACACGTTACCTCCAACAACATAACATCACCACATTACCTTGGCCAGCACTGAGTCCCGACCTCTCCCCCATCGAGCATGTCTGGGACATGCTTGGACAGAGGTTACGTCAACGTCAACAACGTCCTGCCAATGTCCAAGAACTTGCTGCTGCGTTGCAACAGGAATGGGACAATCTGGACCAAAATGACCTTAGACGTCTCATTAGGAGTATGCCACGTCGGATCAATGCTTGTTTGACAAACAGAGGAAGATTTACCCGTTACTGACTTGGTTGTGATGCTGTGGTAACTTTGCTGTTTGACCCCGGGTATCATTTTACCCTTATAATGGTCAGTCTGTGCCTTACTTAGTCTAACGATCATTTGGAATAAATCGATGAATGTGAACTTCATTTCATTTTGTCATTTGTTTCTTCGTCAGTTTCATTAGGTGACTTTAATAACACTTAAAAATCAAATATCCCCTACTTTTTTTGAATAGTATAGTTTAAAAAAAAACATTTTCATTTCAGCAACGGCCCATCCAAGAAAGACTTAAAAATGCCGTTACCGCCAGTAGTAAGTATATCTACCATTTATGGACTTCTTATTTAGTTGTCCAGTATATACTGGACATTTGAAGTGATGCATGTATTGGGTGTAGGGGTGGGGAGTACAGGGATCCGGAAGTGTTAGGCGACTACCTTTAATATCTGTATTAACTTTGTAATACACTTAACACGTTGTATTGACTTTGTAAGTCACAAAAACCAATAATGATACCCAAGTAAATTACGCCATTGACAGCATGCCAACGTTACTTGGAGATCAAGAATTAACTATATTATGACTTAAAGATATTGCAGTTCTTTCTTTAGGCCTTAAATGTTATATAAATTATTAATTATACATTTATCAACATGGCAAGACATTGGATGCTCGAGAGTTTAACTAAATTAGAAAGATTCGGTCATTTAATGATTTAATTTAAAAATGGATAAGCGAGGCTAAGAAACGGATATACCAGTACAGTAGTTACGATAATAAACAATTGCAACCAATGCGCATATCTTTTCAAAACTACAAACAGTGATAACTGTGCTCAGAATAAAGGAATTTGAATGAAATTTTCAATATATGTATTTTGCATTATATACTTTTTGAACGTCCTGCTCTTTATCTAAATCTTACATAATGTATCTTTAATACTACAAACGTAAAACAATACTCGAAGCAGGGTATTCACACTCTTGCCTGCTTGTAGAAAACTTGATATCATTTCCAGATTTAGTTGAACAGTTCACACAGCACAGGGTCTACTGATAAAATTTGTACGTTTGAAGAATTTGACTATGTGACTTTCCAATTGTTACAATGTGAGTTGAGGGACATCTCTTATATCAAACTTCAAGGTGTCACAGGTTCTTTTACGCCACAAACTCACCGTAATAGACCGTTTCATTGGCTAATCTCTCACATCATCCAGAACGCGGGTTATATAACAACTCTTTCAGATCCTAGTGCAGTAAAGAAATTTTGAACTGTAAAAAACGAAACGAAATAGGGTCTCTCCAATTGCTACCTCTCAACAACTATAGCTCCGAGATCCATTAAAAAGAACTAGTGTACGAGGCAGGATGTGTTGTGCGTTAATGTGATGTATTGTATAATCTTGTACATATATACTTTCAGCCAGGAAAAAATCCCCCAGTACTTCGTCGATATGGTCGTCCACCACCACCCTCGCCTCCACCATCACCACAACCAGATACGGGGGTAAACATAACTTCAATCTGATTAAAATACAGAACTATAAAAAAAACGAAACGAAATAGGACCTTTGTTTTAATCAGATTGATATAACTTTTGTTTTAAAAGCAGGAACTGGGACGTGGGTTTGTTTTTATCTATCTGTGTGTATGTTTAAAACCCGCTGTGCATCTTGACTGTATATAGACCAGGTGAGGTCTTCAACTGACAGATTCGTGTCCCACAGCAATAATAAATATGATAGGTTAGGTGATATTCTCGGATAACACGATCTTAAACAGCACAAGGTTTACTTTATTACTATTTCATTTCAAGTCTTCCTCTCTCGATTTATAAAAGTTCTTTTTCTATTTGCATTCAAGCAATATTCATAAATACAATGTTCATTCAATCATTCATTCATTCATTAATGCAATGTTCATTCATATAAACAGGATTATGTAAACCCGATTATTCCATCCGGTCAATCATACGAGGTTTGTATTTTTCTATTAGTCCCAAATGAGTATAGTTATAGTATGTATTTTGGTGTAAGGATTTGTATATTTCCACTAGCCCCCAATGGGCTATCAAAAAATAACCTAATTACTAAAATAGACTACTTTCAATTTATTTTATTTAATGCTAAATCAGATTAACCAATATATATATATATATATAGAAACATAACACGCACGTGATTTCACTAATGTCACGGTCATCGAGCGATTTTCTTATTGTATATATGCTTGCTTAATTCTCCTTTATTGTATGGTGACTTATTGTATGGTGACTTATTGTATGCCAGGTTGATTTCGGTTCATGTCGTCATAATGTTCCGGTTCGATGAATACCACAACAAATGAAGAAATAAGAATTAAAACATAGATATGACGTCACCCTTTGATGTTTTTAACCAGTATATAGGATAATGTACGCTTTTCTTAAACAATCGTCTATTATTTATAAAACTGTCCATACATGACCGAATGTTGATTGCGCGTGTTTGTCTACATAAAGAATTCCACTTAAATCCGTCCGTTATATATCACTTGTCCGTTTAATAGTACGTACGGCACTAGATCGATGATACGTTTTTATACGCCCACATAACTTCATGGATTATGGCCCCTGACTGTACACACTAGAGGTCACAATTATTAGCCCATTTTGATGAAACTGAACATGTGTGTTTATAACCCAAAGATCTCGATTCCTTGCGATATTGGCGCATATCGGACCGTAATTTCCTGGATTATGACCACTGATTGAACAAAAAAAACGTGTTTCGAGCCTGTGGAACCTATACAGTTCACAATTTTTATCACCGTTACACCATAATGACAGTTGAGTTTGAATTTCGTGAATTGGTTTATGCCTTCGATCCTGTGTCCTGTCACTTATATCAGAGTATATATTTAATTTAAAATCAAGATTTGGACGGCTAGTACCCTCCATATTAACCACAGTACTAAGAATATTATCAATATCTAAATCATTCTCGTGAGCAGCCTTTCCATCACAACTTTGACGGCTATTATTCCCCCATTTCAAGAACATCACAATTTTTACAACTATTATCTTCCATATCGAGTACATTACCAATGTAATCAGTATCCAAATGCTTATCACATATATTCTCATTATTAATATTTGTTTTCGACTGTGTTATAAACATGTCGTCTCCATTTCGAATATTTTGGACTGCCTGTGTGTATGCTTGCATTGTATGATTTGAGTATGTGCATGTTGTTTTAAGAATATATCCATTATTTTATGACTTGTTGTTTTAGAAAACTATCCATTATTTGTATCTCTATGGTGTTATGTTTTAAGTTTGATAATAGCCTCAGACTGTCCATTATGTAAATACAAAAAAAAACAACTTCGGGGCTAACGCCCTCAGTTGTTCCTTTTATTTACATAATGGACCGTCTTCGGCCATTATCCATCATTTAAAGGACCATGAATTAAGAACTAAGAGCTAAGAACACTGAATAAAGAGATGTTTGGTCTTCCATAGATAACTATTTAATCCCTTAGTTATGAAGTACCTTGCTGATAATTAGGCTATATCCTTATTGATGAGGTACCTTGCTGATAATTAGGCTATCCTTATTAATGAGGTACCTTGCTGATAATTAGACTATCCTTATTTATGAGGTATCTTGCTGATAATTAGGCTATCCTTATTGATGAGGTACCTTGCTGATAATTAGGCTATATCCTTATTTATGAGGTATCTTGCTGATAATTAGACTTACCTTATTGATGGGGTATCTTGCTGATAGTAAGGATACCCATATCTTTGAGCCACCTTGATGATAGCCATGGATACGTTTATTTATGGGGAACCTTGCTGATAATTAGGATACACCTATTTATGAGGTACCTTGATGATAACCATGGATACCTTTATTTATGAGGTACCTTGCTTATATTTAGTCTGCTCTTATTTATGAGTTAGCTTGCTGATAACTAATTAACACTATGTTCGTTTTCATATATATAGAATCCTTGTATTATTGAAAGAGCATTTCAGCCACGAGTTTACTGACCCGAATCTTAACCCGTTAGTTCATATAACTACCAGTTAACGCCCATAGATTTAACCCCCGTAGCTGAAACTGTTTTCAATCACATATATGTACATGTTATTGACATTATTTAGGAATATTATGATGAGTTTGATGTGGGGGATGATACCACGAAAACAACACCGCATACAGCAGCAGCCAATGTCGACTCAGTAAGTCAAAAATTTAATTAAAGTTAGTAATCCTCTGAAACAAATATTTAATCCTCGCCCCATCACATATTAACATTAGATCAACCCAATTCATTGCTTTATTTTGACATCAATTAAAACAGTTCGAGCTCCTTTAAAGATGTATTATGTAAGATTTACATCTGTCTATTGCACGTCGTTATTTTGACTTCAAATGTTATATACATTATTATTTAGACACGTGTTAACATAACAAGAATATAATAAACTCTCTAGACCATCGGTTGACAGAAATGTAGATGGATTAGAATGCCCTAAAGATTTAAAAATGTAACGACAACATGGATCATCACCTCTCTAGACCATCGGATGACAGAGATGTAAATGGACTAGAGCGCCCGCGATATTTAAAAATGTAACGATAGAATGTATAATCGAGACTTATTCTCGATTGTCCAGTACAATTGTTACGATAATAAACAATATACGCCACACCTTCCAAAGCGGTGGAGTTGGAGTTCCAATTGGTGCACCAATGATACTTCTTGGTGCCCTCTTTTGTAGTTTTAAAGAAATATCTAATTTACTTCTGGTAGCATTTCCCCATACAACAAAGCAATAGTCAAATATCGGTAGCATATAACTATTATAAAATAAAATTCTTGTCTCGTAAGGTAAATGATCTTTTATCTTATTTATTTTTTTAGACATTTGTGATATTTGTTTGCCAATTCAGGTCTAGGCCAATTTGAGTTCCAAGTAATTTAGCGGTAATAACCGTTCCAATGTGATAAATGCAGGTTGTTCTGATTTCTATTGTTTTTGTTTGGATACAACCAGCATTGATTTTGTTTTCCATTGTTTTTCACATCATTTAGCAACCAAGTGAAGATCAATTTCGAGATTATTGGCGATGGATATAATATCTTTGTGTGAACAAATCTACCTGATTTGATTTAATATTGAGTGGGAGATCACTAGGGGACCTAGGATCGACCCTTGTGTGACCCCGTACTTGATCGTAGGGTAGCCTATGTCTTATATAGATAAGGGTAGCCTAATCATCAACAAGGTACCTCATAAATATGGGTATCTTAATTATCAAATAGGTGCCACATGTATAAAGGTTACCTGTTATCAATAAGGTACCTCATAAATGAGGATAACCTAATTATCAACAATTAAACAGTAAACAAGAAAGTCCCACTCGAAACACTTTGTCAGGCCCATATGTTCTAACGCTGAAAAGTTGAAAAGATGGAGCCAGGCTTGAAAAAAGATATATTCTTTTCGGGCTATGCCATGGATCGGAACCTGGTTTGCTAGTCTGGAGGCCGCGGGTTCGTTCCAGGTGTTGGCTAAGAAATTTTATGGGGATTTTCCGACTAGTTTACCCTTGTCAGTATTGCAACTGTCTAGTCGTTCGAATGGTACGAAAAACCGAGGTCCGGTGCACACATTGGCGTGCATGTAAATTATCCCTTGGCCGTTGAAATTCGATATACGAATAGTCCTAGCACCGCTGTCCCGGCAAGATTGGTAACCTGACACAAATACGCTTAAAACTGGTCGTTTTGGAATAGTTATCATACAACTTTAGTTAATACCATGAAATTGGGATAAGGTATCTGTATCACACAGAATTCGTCAGTTTGGCTTTCGTTTACTAGAATATATCTGGACTATAGTTTCTTAAAGAATTACAACCATATATCGTTACCTCGTGTTGTAGTTGATGATTTGTGTACTCCTCGTCCACTGTGAATTAGTTAGGAAATTCCCACAGTTTAATAATAATACCAATACTATTTGAAGAGTTATGCATATTTCTCGTTATCCACTAAGGGTTCAAAGCTACCCTAAAAATTTTAGTTAAAGAGACCAAATGGCAGAAAAAAATGACAATTCATTAACTCTATCCAAACTGTAAACAACATTTGAAAACAATTTGTTAAATACTATAGCCTCTATCGCAGTCACGAGGTTTTCGAGAAGGGGTTGTGGGGTAACTCTGGAACAGAAGGTTTAACAATTTCATGACCACAAATTAAAAAAAATAATCGTTAAAACTGTAGCCTTTAACGTGTTCACCATCTTTATAACAAAGGGAGGCAACCCGTCCACGAGTGATCTCGAAACACTGATATTCGACAGGGTTAGCCCTCTCATGACCTCAATGCTTTACAGTAAAATTGAAGAAAAGAAAATTGTTAAAAAATGCCTCAATTGTTGACTAATGGGCTGACCGACGGAGAGAGTGACGACATATACACTCACAAGGAAATGCGGGTCTAAAATTTTGTTATTGTCTTACCAAACGTACAGTTAGCCCCCCTTGAATACACTAGATAGTTATCTGTGCGTAGAATGGTTATACAGATTAATATATAAAAAAGTCATATATAACAGAAAATATACACATAACACCACGAAGGATACGATTGTATAAAACATTAAAACCAACATGCTTACAATAAAATAAAACTCCAAATCAACCCACATTCTTAACCTTAACCTTTATAAATAGAAACATCCCAAATACCACCCACACCCAACACTTAATCCATACAGGATCAAGCCTATCCTAATAGAGATAAAATGGAACTAGGTTTAATATTCTACTGTTCTGCTCCTACCGAGCTAATGAAGACGGGCATACGCCATGCAGTGTGCTATGAGGAAACTTTTTCCCGGACAGCGGTGCCTCGGTCTTCTCTTATTTCCGAATTCCAACTGTTAAGGGTTCTTTTACGTGCACGGGACCTCGGTGTTTCGTCCCATCCGAACGACTATACGTTGTCCCTTGCCAGACCCTCCGTTCTACACCACCTGACAAGGTCGAACCACGTCGGAAAATCCCGAATAAATTTTTCGGCCAACGCAGGGATCGAACATGGGACCTCCAGGTTAGCAAGCCAACGTCCTACCCACTGAGTCACCGTGGCTCCCAAAATAAAATTTAAAGGAATCTATGAAAACCGTAGCCTGTAGAGTGATGACAAGCAAATTTCCCTACGTTCGATCGTTTCTTGGTGAAAAAGTATTTTACCAATATAGATAAGGATCGCTTTGCATTTTAGAGTGTAGAATGCATACACGAAGTTCTGGACCGACGGACGTAGGTGCTGGATCGCAATATTATGGAAGCCTATTGTGGCCATTTGCTAATCTCGAGGGAGAGAAATCGAGATCATCAAACCTCGATTTCTCGTACTCTAGCCATTGACTTCTCACCTTTGAGTATTTCTCGGATTTTCGTGTTCTCGTGCCCACAATTTCGACTTCTCGAAAATAGACTTAGAACATAGAATATCTTTAGTAAATACTCTTACATCCAATTAAAGAGGTGTAACGTGTTTAAGTCATTCATATTCTTAACATTTCTATAAGCCTTCTAAGCACAGTTGGTCGTTTGGTGATAAAGATCCTTGAAGCTTGGGGCTCCTGTTAAATACTTTGTTTTATCATGGGCATTATACAGTAAGGGCAAACACGTTAGGAAAGTTACCAATTGCATATCAAAACTGTATTTCCTGCCGACTTTATTAAAGATCAGTATTAAATACATTTATATATTTGGATTTAAATTGAAGAAAAATATAAAACCCCAAAAAACATTAGATTGAATTTTTTAATTTAATATCATGATTCACCCTTCTTATATAATTTATTATTTTATTTTTATTTATAGACATTCTTTTAAAAATATTCTTATATTTGATGGATTTATGTTAAATTCTCGATGATGACATTCGTATAATCAGTGAATGTTAATTTCTAAATGAAGGAATAATGTTAATTTCTAAATGAATAAATAATGTTAATTTCTAAATGAAGGAATAATGTTAATTTCTAAATGAAGAAATAATGCTAATTTATAAATGAGGGAATAATGTTAATTTTTAAATGAAGGAATACTGTTAATTTCTAAATAAAGGAATAATGATAATTTCTAAAGGAATAATGTTAATTTCTAAATAAAGGAATAATGTTAATTTCTAAATGAAGGAATAATGATAATTTCTAAATGAAGGAATAATTTTAATTTCTAAATAAAGGAATAGTGTTAATTTCTAAATGAAGGAATACATACATTAATCCATCTGTTAATTTTGGTTTTTAATGAAGTAGTTCTTATCATTTATAAGTTTATATTAAATATTCTTCTGTCTTCATTCTTATAATAATTTATCACTTGATTTGTGTTTTAATCAAGGAATTCTTGTTATTTAAAATGTTATTATTCTTTTTTAATGCAGGAATTCCAATAGTATATCAGTATATGTTAATTTCTCAATGGCGACATTCTTATAATTTATGTTTTTTTTTATGAAGGAAGTAAATACATCTGACGATGATGATTCAAAAGACGTATATGATGAATGTGTATCTGATCCACTGGTTGGATTTCCATGGTATCACTTTAATATAGGCCGAAATACATCAAATGCTAGAATACAAAAAATAAACAAGGTCAGTTCTATTTTAAAACATATGTGTACCTATATATATATCCACAAGCAGAACCATAATACTGCACTACTTTGTTTCACAGTACAGTAAACGGCGAGGAGATAAAAGGCCAGGTATGCCGACACAAACTAATTTCAACACTGGTTTAATAACATTTTAAAGTACTGCTTACTCGTCTTTGGGCCTATTCATAAATGATGTCATTGTATAGTGATGGACAAAATACTAACATTTATGCACATTTACATATTAACACCGTGGTTTAATTGACTATAGATGCAACTGTTTGTGATTACACAGTACCTACGTAGCTAACAGAAATCATGTATACACGTGTGTTATGTTGTATATGTAGTATAATTTAGGACCAATGAGTGGAAAATGATCTTGGGATAGATTAAGAAAATAAATGGACTATTGTCCACGTATATATGATACTATCTGGTTATTCACAAACAGGATAGATATTTCACGGGTGGCATTTTCAAACCTGAAATGATAACGCGTGATTTATCCCTTTATTTATATCGCGCGATTGCGTCGTTGTAATGCTATCACTGAATATCATCGCTTTATATCGTCACTGTAATCTCATACGCTACTGTAATGGCATCACATGCTATCATCACTGTAATGATCGCATCCCTGTAATGATATGACTTAATGTCACTGTAATGATATGACTTAATATCGTTACTGTAATGATATCACTTGATATCGTCACTCTAATGATATCTCGTGATACCTTCACTGTAATATCATTTTATATGATACTGTAATGGCACTGTAATGCCATCGCTTGATATCGTGAATGTAGTGATATCGCCACTGTAATGATATCACTTGATATCGTCACTGTAATGATCATTCGACTTTAATGATATCACTTATGATATCGTCACTGTAATGATATCACTTGTTATCGTTACTGTAATGATATCATTCGACTTTAATGATATCACTTATGATATCGTCAAGGTAATGATATCACCTGGTATCGTAACGGTAATGCTATCACTCGATATCGTCACTGTAATTATATCACTGATATCGTCACTGTAATGCACTTGTTATCATCATTGGTAATTCCTTGTATTTCAATATACAATTTGACTATGCTTACTTTTGTTCGTGAAAAAAAAGAATATAGGCAATTTTTACAGGTTAGTTTAAATCATTTTTCTTATTTATTTTAGGACGGTACTTTCCTGATTAGAAACAGTGGAAGCAATAAACCCACGAGTAAAAGCCACCCGTATACACTTTGTGTGCTTTATGAAAACAGAGTACGGAATCTAAAGATCAGACACCGATCTGATCAAAAATTTGCCCTTGGGGAATTCAAGAATAATGAAATGGTATGCATTTGATTCTGCAAAAACTGTATACAATACTGATTATTAAAATACGTTACGAATTTATATTTTAATGAATGTGTGGGAATCGGCTATTGCACATATGATATACACAAATACCTTTTCCTTAAGTGACACGATTGTATCCAGGATTTAACGTTCTCTCAAAACAATCGCCTTATGTCTGACTTTTAATTTATTAGGTCGCATTAGGAATGGCAGATTAAACAGAAGTGCTCGGAGGAATTCCACGTGGTTATGTCGACGACCCTGGTACTATATCCAGTTATCCACTAGTTACATATAGATAGATCTATGATTTGCGGATCATTGCCTCATAATCTCCGGCAAGCCGTCTCCAACTTCTGTAAGTAAAGATGACCCACAAGAAGATAGACTGGCTCTCTTTAAATGTATCTGTGTCTGCCGAAATCTTCTTATATAAATATTAACTATATTGTAAATAAAATAATAAATATATTTCTGTTTTCAGACTTTTGAATCTATAGAAAAATTAGTAGAACATCACCAGAAAAATGACGTCATATTAATTGGAGAACATCAAGGAAATGTTAAACTTCTTCATGCCGCTATTAGTCAATAATAACCACCGTATTTGGCGCCCTGTCCTTGGGATTGTATTTAACTATGTTTTATCACCATACTTAACTATCTTACTAAGCTTTCTCTGTATTTTTTGTTTTAAATTTTGAATCGAAAAGGCCAGTAGATCTGGCCTACCGAAATACAAACCAGGGTCCTTGTTTTAAGTATTTTTGATTACCATACTCTTACGAAGCGGTCACTTATTTGTTTATTGTAAATGTTGATATGAAGAGTCACAGTAGATTTGGCGCCTTTAAATATAGAAAAACAATCAACAACCAGTGTCTTTGTTTTTGTATTTAACTATTTTATATTAGCACATTACACTAACTTAATTAGCTGTCGCTGTAATTTCTTATTGTAAAATATTGATGCGAAAGGACACCGTAAATATTCAAAATGTATTTATGATGTTAATATTCATTTTATATATAACAAGTTATTTTATTTTAAATAAACTTTCCCATAACCTTCTTTTAATATTGAATATTGTTGATATTCACAGAGTAAACCCGTAAACAAGAATAATGCAACTTACGTCGGTCTTATAAACAGTTATCGCAATTGACTGTTAATATACCATTTGGTCTTATACACGCCCCGGCTAAATATCATAATTTAATTTATTATATATGATATCAATGTGTGACTAAAAACCACTGTAATAGCATATACAAAATGTATACCTCTACTAAAACTAAAGATTCGTATTCTTTTTGTTCAAATATTTATCCTGCATTATCTGTATTTTAGTTTCGACAGACTTCGCCGTGTTTTTCATTCATCAATGTAATTGTCCGTTCACAGAATAATTTGCTCAAAGATAATCAACCTTCATAAACCGATGTTGGTCTTTGCAGTGAATTTTATTTATGTTATGTATTTGTATACTCCCTATGGTGGGATTTTACTGTTTGAAGTTATGAGTAGCCATCTGTACGTTTTTTTATTTTTTTATTTTTTTTAAAAAATCTATTTTGTCAACAGATAATTTGATTCCCCAAAATTGTAGAGGTAGGTTAGATGTTGAGAAATAGTTTTATCAGTAACTAATATTAGAATTGTATAATAATTTGTAATATTTACGTATAATAAATTAATACAAATCAATGTCATTGAAAGTAAACAGAGCTTGTTTCATAAATATACGCAAACTCTCAAGGGGGAAATAAGACGCCCAGGAAAATCTCATCATTGTATGGGATTGATATTCTGTTCCTGATTTCTCGAGTATTGGATTAAAATGAAATAAAATGATTTCTAAAAACTTAGACTATTGCAATAAAAATAAAATATAGGGTGTTTCATTGAATCAGTAACGTGACATTAGTCGTATATTAATATATCTTATTAGGTAATTGTTTTCCCCTTGTCAGTGGTGCAGGAGTAGGGCCTGGCAAGTGCAGTTGTCTAATCGTGCACGTAAGAGATCCCTTGGCAATCTGGAATTTCTAAGGATTAAAATTTCCCTCATGGCACACTGTATGGCGTGTCCCCGTCTTCATTAGCCCAGTTCGGAGCAGAACAGTAGGACGTTAAACCCCATTTCATTTTTTTGGAGTCACGTCATCATAGCTACATCGATTGATAAATGTGTACGTGTAGACGACCAATCTATTTCACAGAAATATTGAGAAAGCCTTCTTATACCTCCTTTATAAGTCCTGCTTTCTAAGTGTGGCGGCGTTGATCATTGACTCGATGTCGCCTGTATTGTTTACAAAAAACGCCGTAGCGTTAAGTAGTCAGGGCAGAATGGCGCCCTTTACTCATTTTGTATACCCACTTACACTAAACAGGAAATACTTTTATCCAGATATACTTCGCAGAACCCTACTCTTCATATTGTTGAAGAAGAAGAAGAAGGGGGAGGGAAGAAACCAAGTTAATATGGCGAGCTAATTAACCCGTACCGATTTCATCCCATAGCGAATATTAACTGCTGATCGGTGGTAGACTACATTATCTGAACACCATCTCACAAGAATATTTAATACTGTCTGTCTGCCACCGCGTCTACGACACAATGTTGGTACCTGTTATTACCTCCCTTTTTAATACTGTATTCAGCACCGGTTATTTCCCAAAGTCTTGGTGTAAAGGCCTGATTACACCAGTTTTCAAAAAAGGATCAAAATGAGACCCAAACAACTACAGACCGATAACGCTCTTAGATAATCTGGGCAAACTATACACAGCGGTGCTGAATAACAGATTAAAGAAATGGTCAGAGGCAACAGAACAATACGAAGAGGCACAGGCCGGATACCGACAGGGCTATTCGACAGTTGACCATATATTCACTCTCCAAGGTTTAGTGCAAAAATATTTATCAAGAGCCAGGGGTCGCCTTTATTGCCTCTTTGTAGATTTTTCCAAAGCTTTTGATATGATAAACCGTCAAAAACTCATGAAAAGTCTGACCTCAAAAGGTATAGGTGGTGCATTGTATAACACTCTCCAGTCTATGTACAGACATGTATTTTCATGTGTTAAACTAGGCAATAAGATCTCACCATTCTTCGAATGTAACTCAGGTGTAAGACAGGGGTGCGTAGTCAGCCCCATTCTGTTTTGCTTCTGCATCAATACTCTTATTTCAATGTTAAGGTCGGCAGACGTTAGAGGCATCTTTACTATCCAAGATGTGAATGACATCCTCCTACTGCTATACGCAGGTGACTTGTCGATTTTATCAGACACAGTGGGTGATCTCCAACGGAAAATCACTGTACTGCAAAATTTCTGCAGAGCATTCAATCTCAATGTCAACATTGGGAAAACGAAAGTCATTGTCTTTCGCAACGGTGGGATATTAAGAAACTACGAAAAGTGGTTCTTCAACAGTGAACAGATAGAGACAACGACATATTATAATTACCCGGGACTCTGCTTCTCGTTCAGATTGGTCTGGACAAGGTGCCTGCAGGACTTATCTGCTAAAGCAGAAAAAACATTAATTCCCCAGCTTGCAAACAAAATTCAAAATTTTTGACGGTGTTATTAGGCCAATTCTCATGTATGGAGCCCAGGTATGGGGATATACACATTGACCAGAAATAGAAAAAGTGCAAACTAGTTATTGCAAATTCGCTTTAGGAGTCCATAAAAGCAGCACCAATACCGGTGTACTAGGGGAATGTGGGCGTGTGCCTTTAAGTATCTAGTATATGTCGACTTGCATCAAATACTGGTGTAAGATAGTAAATATGCCACTCCATCGTTATCCAAAACAGGTATTTTCAATGTTGAAGAACCACGATTCAGCAGGAAGAAATAATTGGGCCTCACAAATAAGGCAAATATTATTTAGTCTTGGCTTTGCATATGTTTGGAATGTTACAAGCATAGGTAACATAAATCACTTTATTGCACAATTCAGGAATGTGGGCGTGTGCCTTTAAGTATCTACTATATGTCGACTTGCATCAAATACTGGTGTAAGATAGTAAATATGCCACTCCATCGTTATCCAAAACAGGTATTTTCAATGTTGAAGAACCACGATTCAGCAGGAAGAAATAATTAGGCCTCACAAATAAGGCAAATATTATTTAGTCTTGGCTTTGCATATGTTTGGAATGTTACAAGCATAGGTAACATAAATCACTTTATTGCACAATTCAAACAAAGGTTAATAGACATAAGTATACAAGAATGGTCAAGCAAACTCGCTGAAAGCGAAAGTCTTGTTAATTACCGAAATTTTAAACAAGATCTTGTTCAAGAAAGATACCTTAGTATAGACTTGCTGTTCCATCACAAGAGGAACATAACAAGATTGAGGTTAAACTTGTTACCCTTGGCTGCTAATCAATTTTCAAGAAAACAATGCAGTAGCCCCATGTGTAAGTTATGCCATTTTTAAAATGAAAACACTGTGCACTTTCTGTTAAATTGTCCATATCTAAACAGTTTGAGAGATGAGTTTATTCCAAAGAATTTAAATTATCAACAGCTGTGTACAACAGAAGACAGATCCACTATGTTAGCTGTTTCTAAGTACATTGAAGCTGCGTTAAAAATCAGAAGCGAAAAAAACCAAGTCATTGGCTCACAAAAATACTGATCTAAAGAGTACTTAAATCAAAACCATTGTTTATCAATCAAAGCTGAATATTAAAGATTGTTATAATATCCACAGCAAATCTGTAACAATAAAGGTTGAATACTAAGATTGTGACTATTTGTAACAAAATCTGACATATAAAAAGCAAAGTTGAATGTTAAGATTGTTATAATAGCTGTAGTAAACCTGATATATTAAAAGCAAGGCTATACATTAAGATTGTTACCATATCTGTAGCAAACTTGATATATGAAAAGCAAGATTGAAAAAAAAGATTGTTATAACATCTGTACTTGCATAGGGGTTGGAAACTAAGTACGCAAATACCTAGAAAATACCAAGCGTGTTGAAATGTCCATCAAGAAAATATATTCATTTATATATCCAAACGTGACTGTGATATAAATATTTTATGTTTGTAACTTTGGTCGTGGACCCACTTTACTGAAATAAACATATTATTATTATCATTTTGCGTCTAATTAAGGTAGAATGTTCACACTTAATGATTTTAATCTTAAAAGAACTATTTATGTTCTTACACTGTGAACCTTAAAGACAAGTACATACTGACCGAGGTTAACTGAACAACACGCAAGGCAAGTAGAACCTTTTCTATATGATTTGATTCCAGGTGCAACTTGGGTGGCTGGGGTGGGGTCCGATGATATATTATACATCGGTAGTGACTGTCCCAATTTCAAACACCTGTTACTCATGACTGACATGAGTAGCTCGATCGACACTTCAATGACAGCCCCCCCCCCTTCATAGCACAATATAGTTACTATAACTTACAGAAATGAGATAAATGATTGTTTTGTTAAAAAAACCAAATAATCGAACTTGTCATTTCTCAGATGTATTCCATTATAAGGTGGGGGGGGGGGGTTGGATGGCTGAATGGTTAGCGTGCGCGCGCTGTATCAAACAGTCTGTCATTGAGTCGACTGGCGTGGTTTCGAATCCCCGGTTGTACGTGGCAAGGAGTAGGGTCGCCTGTCCAACCTCGTGGGTTTTCTCCGGGCCCTCCGGTTTCCTCCCACTGCTAAAGACCCCTACGCGCAAGCGAATTATTGAAATAAAATTAAACCATATGTTAGTCCCGAAATGACCTAGTTTGTGTCGAGTGGACGTTAAACCCCATCTCTCTCTCTCCATTATAAGGTAATTGTGTGCTTACCAAATTGAAGCCCCACGTATTGGTTGATACATCACCATCCATATTGATTTTCTGACTTTCTCCACATCTCTTTTTCTTGTATATACGCACTGTTATAAATTAGGTAATATATATATCATCTTGCCAGTACACGGGGCGCCATTCTCTCTCTGATATTGTCACAATAGAGGCTTGAGTTGCTGTCACAGAGTTTCATCAATAACTGTTGAAGGTAAGAAGATTAAAGTAAATCGTGTCTATTTCATTGAGTTTGACGGGATGACAACCTGTTTTTTTTATAGTTTGGAGCGTGTCCACAAGAGCACCACAGAAGGTGCTAAGGCTTCCATCACGGATTTTGATTACATTTATTTTATAAGTTGGGATAGTCCCAAAACTCATAAATGTGCAATATTAGAAAATTGAAAAAAAAACATTTTTCATATGGTGAAATTGCCAAAATCCGTCTTTTCTCAAATATCAACTTTGGCAAGTCCTGGTACATATACTATATGTAGTAAAACGACCAACTCACAAAGTTTGTAAATAGAAACGAAATCTGGATATCTTTTAATCCTCGTCATTTTGGTTACCCAAAGTTTGACGCCCTGTAGCTACTTCTTTCATTGGGTGGGTTTAGAACATTAAAAATATATGTTCACGTGAACAAGTAACTTGACAATCTGTAATACCCAAAATAAAATTGACCGGAATCGACTTGACAAAAACTGGGTAAAGGAAACAATAACCCATGAAATTAACCTGAAAGTCAGCTGTTTTGGACATCATTAACGCTTGCAGATCACAAAATAACTATCAACTTTTATTATCATTTCATACTTAAGGTGTGTACTACCTGTTCTAAAATACATTAATATCTGTTTCATCAAAATGTCTTGAAATTATTACTTTATAAAAAATGCAAAAACTCTCAAATAGACATTATCTTAAATAAAATAACCCAAAGAAAAAT